CCTATTCCAAAATAATTTCCTATTTTCACCAGAAAAATCTATAAAACATTGTGAAAGCTCTCTGAAAAGGATAGAACTAGAGAGCTATCTCAGAAGCACATGCTTACACTGTAGAATAAATTTGATGTATGTGTTAACTCTGAATGAGATTTTAATGCAAAAAGCCAACAGGATTTTTGTTTCATATATTTATTTATTTATTTATTTTTATTTTTAAAAAATGTATTTAGTACAGGGCCTACAGAGTCTACAGGGTCTCACTATGTAGGCTGGACTCATAATGATCCTCCTGTTTTCAGTCTCCCAAGTGCTGGGATTACAGGTGCGCGCCAGTCTCAATCTCTATCTCAGTGTACCCCAGGGGCAGGGCTGGCACAGCATACCAGGGATTGAACCCTGGCCACTGGGCTATGCCTAAGCAAGCTCTTTAGTCCTCTGAGCTATCAAGCCAGCCCTCCAACAGGATTTTTAGATGAAATTTGATTTAAGAATAACTATCTTTGAAAACAATAAGGGGCAAACATTTGTTCTACTAGATAGCAAAACAGAATGATTGAAACAGCATGGTATCACATAGAAATATAAATATAGATCAGCTTTCATTTAAGCAAATCAAGAGTTCATATGGGTATAAAAGTATAATTAGAAATATAATAGATAATAAATATTGTATTTCAAATAAGTGGGTAAGAATGAATCATTAAGTAATCATTATTGAGATAGTTGACTACCTAATTAGAAAAAATGGAATTCAGACACTTAGCTCACATCATTCATGAAAATAAATTCCAGATGGCTACAGAGCTGATTTTTAGGAAAGGTATACCTACTATACATTTGTTTAAAAGAAAGGTAGGTTTATTTACAGGGATCCTATGTATCACTGTGAAGTTTTGCTTTATAAAAATGACTCTTGGCCAGAGGTATACGTAGAATGGTGCTTAGTGTTGTCTCTGTTTGCCAAACTTTGTGCCACGGTTCCGAAGAGGAGCTTTTCCCCAAGCTGTCCACTGGAAACAGAAGCTTCTGTGTACTCTCCTGCCAGAGGAGGCCACCTTTTCTAACTGGAACAAAGACCTTCTATGCTAGCAGCAACAAATAACAGTCCGTAGTAAGCAGGCAATTTGTATATGTGTAAGTGCTTCAAAAAGTGACACACAAGCATGGCCCCAAGTCACACACTGACTGTCTCATCCCTCAGGTAAGGGCATTTGAGACAAAGCTTTGGAAAGGGAGAGGCCCTCACGAGGGGATTAGTGCCCTTATAAGAAAAAACAACATCAGTGACCTCTGGAAAAGAGATTGCATGAAGGTGGTGATCAACGAGCAACCTGCTTTTATGTTTTTGCTTTAATTTAAATGTTTTAATTTTTATCAAGGCATTTATCAGAATGCCTTCACTGTTACATGTGCTACATGAAATATTTTAAAAGCTTAAATATTTTTAGAAAAAATTATGGCAGAGGCATCACACGTTTTAAAAATGTTAAGTGATAGGAATCACTTATATTTAATGAATACTTATGTTCCAGGACAATATGTTGCATTCATTAGATCTTTGCAACAATCATATAAGTACATAGTATGTATGTATGTATGTATGTATGTATGTATGTATGTATGTATGTATTTTTGTATCAGGAATTGAACTCAGGACCTCATGCCTGCCAGGCAGGCACTTGTACCATTCAGAGGTATTCCCAGCCTTGAGTAGAGTATTTGTAACTTCATTGTACAAACAAAAAATTGAAGCACTGAGGTTAAATAACTTACATGTGTATGACCTATGAAGTATAGAGCTAAAATCCTAATGTTAACTATCTGATTCTAGAGCCTGCCCTCTTACCCTCAATAGCATATGGAAAAACAAACATAAGGATTTAGGAAATTAAATGGTGAGTGGAAACTTTGTTAGAAACAATTTCAATAAAACAAAAAGGGCAACAGAAATATTGCAACTGAGAAAAGAAATTCAATAAACTAAATTACTATATCTTTTTATTATATTCAATCGCATGAAACTGCTAATACTCAATAATCTTTCACCTCCAAAGGTAAATTTTATATTGTTCAGCTATTAGATTATTTATGAATGTCATCTTTAGGAATTCTAATCTTTAAAACTACAAAGAGGAAGTAAATGACAAGCTTTCAAACCCTCAAGGCTATGTGTGCGTACCCTGAAGACAGAACTGGAAACTATTTCAAACCTTCTTATTTTGACATAAAAATGTGCTTCCAGTTAAAATAGCAAGTAGGAATTTTGTGAATTGTATTTCACTATGACAGGAAAATGTTTTTAACCAGTCAACCAAAGTTCTCAGTGCCAAGATGGCTACAAAGGAGCACAATTTCTGGTTATTGTCAGAAGCAAAAGCTATCAGCAATTTTTATGAGTTGAACTCCATATCCCTTAATCACAGAAAAAGGACTATACTGCTGTTTGCAATATCACAATTCTCCTGAGACTTATTCCTCGGATACATCCTGATATTTGAACACCTTTCCTCACTGATTTCCCATCATCACGCTGGCGCTGGGCCTGCAATGATCCAACTCTGCAGTACTTCATCACAGGAGTTGAGCGTAATAGATCACTGGCCCTTAAAAGCTGATCAGCTCATGTAGCCTTCAGATGCTATCCAGTTCAATGTTCCAGAGGACAAAACACAGCCTCATGGAGATGAAATGACCTGACTTTCTCAAGGTCATACACTAGCTAAAGCAGAGTTAAGAATAAAAGCCTGCTCTATGCCTCCTAGTCATTAGTACTTTTTGCTATGCTGTAAGGGCTATTTCTTTTTCCTGTTATATAAGCAGATTAATCTGATTTTCTTTTTCTTCTATTCAGCTGAAGTTCTGAATCAGCTAATCTTGATAATTACGGGGACAGGAAGCAAAAGACTGAAATGACTCTGTAATCAAAGCAGCTCCCTGCTACGAGGGATGATTCTATTAGAAGCATGTCTCTTAATGCTGGGACTCCACATCTGTTCTGTTTTGCCCACCCCTTTTAATTCCTGCAGCTTTCTTTTCTTTTCCCAGAATAGTTGTACACTGCCCAACCAGTATTTTGACCCCTGCCTTTCCCTAGCCCCTCACTATTTCGCTTTTGAGGGCTTTTCTATTTCCCTGTTCCTGAAGCACCGCATGGCCCATGTTCTGGGGTCTGCGTGGATACTGGACTGCACTTGTTGGTCTGGGTTCCTGTGGGTTGCCTGACCTCCTAACCTTGAGCCTTGCTTTCAATGTATTTTTGTTCTCTCAGCAGATGATGCTTAACTCTACAGCTCTAAACTGCATGGTAGACTGGGCGTGGGGGTGCATGCCTGTAATCCCAGCTCTTTGGGAGGCTGTAAAACAGGTGGATCCCTATGAGTCCAATCTAGTAGTGAGACCCTGAATACCCTCTGGACCCTTCTCTAAGATACAAAAAAAAAAAAAAGAAAAAAAAAAGTGAGATCTAAACTGCATGGTAAATGTCATTTTCACCTAGAATATCTTTAGGAATAGCTAACATTTATCTGTAACTTCTGATTGACTCTGGAATCTTGGTGACTAAAATTTCAAATAATTGTCACAAAGGATACTTCCTAGCTATGAGTGAAAATGTCATATAACATTGTTATGTCTTCTAACGTTATATAAGTTCGAGCGGTAATTTTATAATAGGTTTTAATTTTTAGGGCCCTTTCAGTTTCACTCCAAAATTAAACAGAAAATAATGAGAGTTTGGGGCAATTGTCTCATCATGTCTAATTTAGACCAATACATTTGAGATGCCTACTACTCAAAGAAAACTTACGGTGTGCAATTTGAGCTATGAAATGAGAGCTGTGGAAAGACAACTAGGAGCTAGTTAAATGAGAAAGCTATGCAAATTACCAACTTATTGTCTCTCAGCTCTACATCCACCCTTCATTATCAGCTGTGTGAAAATAGAGTGGGATTCTCCATATCTCCTTGAAGCCAGCAAAAGTATTTCACTGCATCAGAAAAGGGAAAGGACACTGCAATACTGAAGGGGATAATTGGTGTCATGTTTGTCCTTGATGTTCCAATAGCAATAGAAAGTTATTCTTTTCTCATCAAATTTCAGAGGTATGTCATGAACAGATTTCTGTTGAGTTTTGCAACCTTCCAGCAGTGACATTCCAGCCCAGGCCTGCCTGTACCCAGGTAGGGTACCTCTAGCTTGACCAGTGTCTATGAACATGCTCCAGCTTCCCTACCCAAGAGCTTCTCACCACGCACAGGGCCAAGACCACAGCTTCTCCATGAGGTCCAAATCTCAGCCAAGGAGAGAGTGGCACAGTTGTGAACCTGTCTCTTCCAGCCCTTGGACAGCGCCTGGAGTCATCCACGCTGCTTTGCACAACAGGAATTTCCTGGTAAAGTTTCTAATTCTCAATACTAACCTTTTCCTGTTCAAATTACAATGCTATCTGCATTTTCTGTTTGGCCCTGACTGATACAGTAATCTTGGAAAAATAATGTAAAAAACGAGGAGATTTGACTGTTTAATCTCAAATGTCCTTTCTAGCTCTAAAATTATGATTCTAAAACATTTTTCATAACTGGAGTGAATAAGTATATTATGAGGACTGACCGGCTCTGAACTGTCTCTCCCAGCCTCAGCCACAGTAAACAAACCTTTCTGCCTATAAAAATAATGTTTTCCTCCTGGGTCAAAAACATTCAGTTGCAGCAGCATCCAGCATCACTTCATGCATGCAGTGGGCAATCAAATGCTATAAAGCCCTCAGTGAGAGCTTTACCTAGGAAGCGATCTGAGGAACAAAATGGAAAACTGGAGGTTTATGTATGAAAGGGAGAGTTTAAAATACATTATAGAAATCACTTTATCCATTTGAGAATATAAATATTGAATGGATACATTAAGTATAAAAATGTTCCCCTTGATACTGTTTATCTTAATACATCATGGAAGATTCCATTCACAGCCTCCATTATCATACAGTTCCAAATCTCTCTGTTACCTTTCTCTGTCTTTTATTGATTGTTCAGCCAGTAATTTCTTCAGTTCTTCTAGACGCTGAAGATCTCTCATTTCCATTTCTTGCCATTTCTGTTCTTTCTTAGCCCAGTATTTTCTTATCTATTTCATAAATGTTACATAAAAATTAAATTAACAACAGATATAAACAAGGGGGAAAGCTATAACATAGCCATTGATTCATATAGCAAAGACTGAATGTAGATGGCATTTTATCTTTTTCATTTTTATAACTGCCTATAACACATTGGCAACAGAAAAAAATAAATTAAAGCACAGAGGTACATGTCCTGGCAAATGTCACTTGTGCCGAGTCCCCAGGTTTTAATCTATGGCTCAAATAATTGGCTTTCAGGGAACCATAGTAAAAGCATGTCACTGTCTCTAAAGTGTATGATCTACCTGTTACTCAAGAATATTTTTATCCTCTTATGGTAATGCAGTCCTTAACAAATATAGTACTGAAACTATTTTTACTTTAAAAGCATGGGTTTATTTATGCTAATGGACAGCAGGATATTGTAAGTTTTATGTCTCTGGGGAAGTGGCAGGAGGTAAGTGGTCGGAAGGAGGAAAAGAACAAATTAGTAAGGTTGTGGTGTATGGTCGTCCTGGTTTACATGGTTAAATAAAGGTCAAGCTTATCAAGATCAAAGAGCTGAAAGCATTGTTCTTCCCAGGCCTATTTGGCCTCTTTCCTCTGGAAATAGAGGCAAAGTAAGAGAACTGAGGTGGATGGGTACTGTTTTCAGGGAGACCAAAACCATTACCCAAGACTTCACTGTGTCGAGCAATTGAAGTGCATGTGTATTTGGCAGAGCCCCATTGTACAGTCTGGCTCACTGCATTGTATGTGGATAGAGAGAAGGGGTCTTGCTGCTCAAAGACAGAGTGAGACCTCATGGGTGAGTAGCAGTAGGCGGTGGGCAGCAGAGAGACTGGTCGAGAGACTGGGTTAGCTTTCTCCCCTGTGTAGCCACTCCTCACAGGAATGAGAAGTTAAGTGGGTGCCCCAGTTGCCTAGCAACATGGCCAATGATTTTTAGGAGATCTGTGAGAAAGAAGCATCCCAGGTACCTGGCCATAGCTAGACTTCTCTGCAGCCATAAAACAATATCGCTTTGACCTTAATGACTAACTTAATGATACTAGCTCAGTGTCCAGGGACGTCCACTCCAGAGATGAGTGAGGTCTGAATTCAGGGAGAATAGAGAGCAAACTAGAAAGGAAAATGTGAGAGGTGGGATTGATGGGGGAGAGAAGAAACTGTCTGACATGGTGTTTTCAGGAGTCTTAACTAATAAATTCCAAGGATTCTATTACCATCAGATACTTGTTAACCATAGTTACATTATCTCTGTTAGGGGATTATAAGCAATCTCTATTCTTTATACCTTTCTAGTTTGCTTTATTTTTATTTCCAATAAGGATCTTTCATTATCAGAATGCAATCTAATTCAAAACTTAATTTATAAAAAAACAGATACTGAATTTAAGAACTTTTTTCTATGGACTGTAACAGATCAATAATGTTCCCTTACTCCCAGAACTGGCCTAAGGCAAAATCACTGGTCCCATTGCAGACAGTCCCTTGACTAAGCAGACAGACACCAGGCTACTTGGATTTGAAGAATTACAGGGCCAGTTAGTTATTTCTGTTCTTTCCACTCTGGTACACCCAGCTGATACTGCAATGTGATTCCCATTCTCTCTCTGTATCTCTTTCTCTGTCTCTGTTTCTCCCTCCCTCCTTCCCTCCCCCCTCCCTTTCTTCTCCTCCTTATGTACTATTTCACAGTACTTTTCACTGGGTTTCTTGGAGCCTTTCTGTTGTCCTCCATAAAACCCCTCACCTCTAAAACCTACACGACACTATTTCTTTGGTTTAGCTGAAATTCTTTTGACTGAAGGATGCTCATATTCTGATACCTTTTGTGTTATAGGTCTGGAAAATGGTTTGGCCATTTTTTGCCTTATTAACTGTTATTTTAAGACAACTAATATATCTTTCCTTGTGACCGTCCAGCTTCCCTTGGTGTTTACACTGTCTGGGTGAATCACCCTTTACCTGCCCTTATGACTGACCTATATGGATCTCTAAGCCACTTCCAAATATTTAACAAGAACTCAGACATCTGAGTCACCTCCTCCATCCCAGGTACCCTGCTCGCTCTCAGATAACTTTAGCATCTGTCTGAACACTCCTTCAGCCTGCTATTCTCACTATTCCATTACTTCTTTTACTCCAGGATGGTTGAACCACCTTCTTCTCTGGGATTTTATTATAATTAAAAACAACTCCACTCCTGAAATCTGAGATTATAGCAATAGACTCTGACCAGAACTGACCACTCCCCACCATCATCCCTAGGCTCTGGCTGATTAACACTATTATGTTTCCCAAGTATAACATGAGCTGTGTATCTCTCTCTGTATCTCTTTCTCTGTCTCTGTTTCGCCCTCCCTCCACCCTCCCTTTCTCCTCCTTCTTATGTACTATTTCACATACTTTTCATTATGCTGTTCACATGTATCATTAGGTTCCCTAATCCTATATCACATCTGGCACCTAGTAGGATTGAATGACTCACTATTGATAAGTGGAAGTTGCTTCAGTTCTTCAGTCCAAGAATAACGAAGTTGTAGATGGGAACGAGGCCAGAAGTTTTATTTGCAGGATGGTAAAGCTGAGCTGCATGCTTCCCTAAGGACAGCTCCATTCATTTTTCATCAATTAATAGGAGCAGGAAATTTAGATCAAGCGTTATTAGCTTTTGAAAGCCTCAATTTAAAGTCAAGACTAAGGGTGTTTAACTAGCCCTTTGGGATATGCATTGAGACACAGATTTTAAATGCACTGATTTTAGTTTTTTTGAGTTATTCTTAAAACATTCTAGTGATAGGTCAGTGGAAGTAATGATTTGATTTTAAAATGGGTCCCATGACTTCTCCATGAGATTTCTAAACAAGTCCTCTTGTTTTGTTTGCTTCGTTTTTTGAGACAGTCTGGCTGTGCAGTTCACTCTGGCCTTGAACTCACTGGGTAGCACAGGCTGGCCTCAGAGCAATCTTCCTGGCTCAGCCTCCTGGGCACTAGAATTATGGTTGTACACCACCACACCTGTACACAAGCCCTCCTTTTCTCCTATTTTCTCTTACTGATTTGTAGTGAATGTAAAAGGTTCTTTCCACAGTCCCATATTTTATTCATTTTAGTAAAGTTAAGCCAGTAAAGTTGTAAATAGAAGAAACTATTTGCCATGTAGATTTGTGTGCCAAATAATGCCATTTGCCAGTGTTTAAGACCTTTTTTATATATCCTACCTGATTTTTGTAATCTTCCAATTTGTTCCTTATGAAAAACTCCACTACTAAGCATGATAGTCATCGTATGAGAATACGGCAAAGTTTAACTCTAAAACTTAGACTAATATTACAAAATGATTAAATTTAGCATGAAATAAGAATTTCTTATTGACATGCAGAAAGCAGGGAGTTAGGATAAAGCATTTAATGGAGAAAGAATTAGCTTCCAATTTCAAGCTATCTGTGTGATAGCAAATCTTTGAACAAGGCGACTTGTGCACCTCATTCCCAGGCCATTATCCCCAGAGCTGTAATAACTTTTTCAGCAGGAGTCCATGACATGTAAACAGATGCACAGAAGATATAAAATGTGAAGCTCAAAGTATCCAGTCCCATCCACTCTAAGTCAGTAAGATAAAGCACATTTTCATGCTATTTTCCAGATTCCAGTTTCCTTCTCTAGCTCCTCTACTTAGCCAGAGATCACCTTTCTCCTTTGGGTGTGGAATATATACCTCACACACACAAAAGGACATTAGTGTACAAGAAAACATAACAGGACAACTTAAGACAAAAATATTGATCTTTTTACTTTAAATTTGTAAAATTTCATTTCACTAATAACAGTGGTGGTATCTGTGTAACATAAAATCACCACTGATTGAACACATAACCATTATGTATTGATAATCCATTTAATAGTCACCTGTATTTTGCCACATGATTTTTAACATATTATTGCAAACTTCTAGAAGGTAAGAAACACCCCTTACTTGGTAGCATTCATTTGGGCCTTGAATCACCTCTTGCAGAAGGGAAGTGAAGGAGCACATTTGCTAAACTGATCCAATGAAGAGAATATATATACTCCAAAGATGCTGAATAATTATGAATAATTATGATGTAACATTTCAATCAGTGACAGAATTATATAGTCATATGAGGGTAGGCAGAGGCCTTTAATCCCAACAGAAGTTGGAAACAGAGAATTTCTTTGAGTCAAGTTGCTTATGGGAACCAGAATCAAACTATGTCCTGTGCTAGAAATGGACACAGTCATTCACATCCTCCAGACATTCCAGCCAAGTTCTCTCTTCTGTGACTGATAGTATAGGGATCTCTATGCCTCTGCATAATGCTGGCTTAAGTTTCTGAATAAAAATTTGACTTCAATAGAATTTCTTTGTAAAGAATTCATTATGCAAAGATGAGAAAATTACATGGGCAAGAAACCAAAGTCAAATCTTTGGTTTTCAAAATAGAAAGCTATTCTTGCTTATTTACTTATTTATTACTTTTGTTGGTGCATATTGGTAATGCAGAATAAGATTTGTGATACTATATTGGTACATCTGTATAATTACTATTACTATTTTCATTCCCACCACCTCCTCTCCCTTCCCTCTCCTTCTTATTTCCCTCTCTATCTCTAGAAGACTACCTTCTAGATTCTTGTCCTTTTTGTTTTTCTATTTATTTTTAAATTTCTTATATAAGATAAACCATGTAATTTTTAACTTTCTGAAGTTGACTTATTTCACTTAATATGATGGTCTCCAGTGTCATCTATTTTTCCTGCAAATGATATGATTTCATTCTTCTTGATAGCTGGGAATACTCCATTGTGCACACACACCACATTGTGAACGTTCAGCTATGGATGGATGACCTCCAGACCGTTTCCACAGCCTAGCTACCATGAAAGGCATGGCTAAAAACCTGAGCATGCATTTGTCATGATAGCATGATGTTTTTCACTTGGGGGGATACACCAAAGAGTGGTACAACTGCATCAA